TATTGTAATTCTTTACTATCAGGAAGTCCACAAACTGTAGTTAAAAGCCTTCAGCTGATCCAAAATGCTGCAGCCAGAGTTCTGATGAAAATGAAAAAGAAAGATCATATGTTGACCCACCCTAACCCATAAACTAAAAATATTCTTACACTCCTCATACATTAACTATTCTCTCGGGTCTGTGGGCCAATCCCCCTTGGAGGAACAGGCCCACAGATGGAGGAGGAGATCCCCATACCCTCAGCGTGAGAAGGGGGCAGTCAAAAAAAGAGGGTCCGGAACTTGGCGCCACAATAGGGAGAAGAGAAGCACTGTTACCCAGGACCAGCCCAAAACACCAACCTAGGCCCACTCCCAGGAGGGAAACCCCAACCAATGTGCCGGACACAGCCCTACCACAACATCCTCCTACAAATTGCACCCCGCCAGAGCAGGTAGCCACCTGCCGAAAAGCCCACCCTGCCCCCAGCCAGCCACAGCCATTCCAGGCCCCCACCTCCGTATGGTCCTCTCATACCCCTGGCTGCAATCATAACCCAGGCAGTCTACCCCTAGGCCAAGTACGGCACACCAGCCTCCTGAGCCCAAGCACCAGACAACCCATAGATTCCCCTCCTGCCTGCAAGCGTGGGCTGCGTAAAGGTTTAGGGCAGGACAGAACCATCCAACGTCCTGGACCCCCACTCAATCCCAGGAACTGGCCTCCCCATCCCAGCAGCTGGACAATTAACCGAAGCCAAAGGCCAGAGAGCCCAAGGAGAGTTAGAAACAACCCCAAAGGCCCAGCCCTATACCCAGGCAGAGTGAAAAGAACTGAGGTCTGAAAGACCCCATGCCAGTCCCCCTCCTGCTTCAATGTGTCGCCTGTTGGACTACTGTGTGTTTAAAATCCTGTCTTTGATAGGGACTGATGGACATAAATCTTATTTCAATAGGATAGAGATCATTTACCTGAGAGCTTCTAGTTTGCAGTTTGGGCTCTGCAGTCCAGCAGATAGAAGCTTCACTCCTGAATCCTGCAGGTTGTTGTTACTCAGGTCCAGTTCTCTGAGACTGGAGGACTGGGTGCTGAGAACTGAGGACAGAGCTGCACAGCTTCTCTCTGAGAGGTTACAGTAACTCAGCCTGAGGAGACATAGAAACATCTGTTATGAAACATTAATCAATGCATGCATGAAATGAAGCTGATATAAGCAATAAAGCAGTGATTTGTCTTCATAGGTAATAAAGCTCAGTCAAGCAAAGTTCAATATTTTACCAAAGTAACATTTTAGGCTTCTTCACTAACAGCTAATGCACAGAACTCTGGTTTCAGCAGGATGTAGATCATTTACCTGAGAGTTTCTAGTTTGCAGTTTGGGCTCTTCAATCCAGCAGATAGAAGCTTCACTCCTGAATCCTGCAGGTTGTTGTTACTCAGGTCCAGTTCTCTGAGACTGGAGGACTGGGAGCTGAGAACTGAGGACAGAGCTGCACAGCTTCTCT